TTCCAGCACAAAACCGTTGAGAAAAGTCCTGGAGGTGTCTTCAAAGAACTTCGATCCTGCTCCAAACTGAGAGGGCTGATTCTGAAGGTGCCGGATAATCTCCCCTTGGAAACTCTTGGTCAATTGTGACAGCCGTTGGAATTCATTGCGTTTCCTGAAACCAAACTCAACAAGGCGTGGTCTGTGCTACGTCAAATCAGCCACTGTAAGGATTCTCTGGAGGATCTTTGGATTGAAGTGTGTAACTTCAAGGTANTCTGTGCTACGTCAAATCAGCCACTGTAAGGATTCTCTGGAGGATCTTTGGATTGAAGTGTGTAACTTCAAGGTAAGAGCATATAATATGTAAAACGTGTATAGTATATGTGCGAAATACTGTATAAGCTTCCGATTGAAAATGGAAACACAGGTATAATTTCCTCGATCCCCAGAGACCGTGGTCAAACTCATTTAAGAACGATCTCAGAGTCCATGCCTGTGATGCAAAAGATCTTTTTGTTCCTTTTCACGGAAACACAGGCATGTACAACATACTTTCTTGGGATTATCGGTCAATCCATGGATTATTGGTAACATTTTTGTTGTTTTCTATATGGACTGCTTATCCGTCATAACCTTTCGAATCATTGGCACTTCTGCATAGGAAGGTGTTTTACGCAGTGAAAGTACTTTGCATCACGGAGGCTAAACAATGTTGAAGTTACCTGAATATCATCAATTACTATGTCCTGTAATTTTTTCCTATTTCTATACTATACTCGCTAAAATGCTCGTTTCCGTGACTCGAAAATTTTTGCTGGTCCCTTAAAATTCGATTAAAAGAGATTTGATGATGTGTTCAATTCATTTAATGTTATACGATGAGAATGGAACGATTAACCTTTATAGGAGGATTAATCCATTGTTATGAATTGAGGGCGGTTTCATTTAATTGACGTTATTGACTAAATTATCCTTGGAGTCACTGGGGAATTGGTTCTCTGAATTACATTGAGTGATTTGCCGATCGTTGATTGTTTTGAACCACGGCTGTACATTACTGCATATTCTGTGGGTTCAACGTACCCTCTCTCACTTCCCGCTCTTTCTACCCAGGAAGTGCCGAAAATTCTCCGAGCTGTGAAGGCGTTCAAGCGACTGAAGAATTTAGTGTTGTTCTCGAAAACTGAGATGGGAAGCGGCAAAGGGTTTTCGGAAACTATGCAAGGCTGCCTCGGGCCAGTGTCTTCTTTGCATCAAGTGACTTTCGTTTGTGAGCTTGGACCGGATCTACGTCACCAGTACGTCGCTTGCGACGTCCAGC